GCGCCATGCAGCCTCAGGTTCCTGCTGTTTGGTAGTGACATTTCGGGGTCCCGGCTAATTTGCATATTCCTCTATTATTATATAGGATTCTATCTTATGCTGGAAAGTGATGAGTAAAAGCTAGAGCAGGGTAGGTAGGTTCAGGGTTGCCTGATGGATTGCAGTTTTGATTAGGGTCGTCACAAGGCAGGTTTCATTAAGGAGGTTAATTCCTAGCCAAGACTTGAAGAAGTTGAGATGGACCATGTGAATTATCAGTGAAAGACTGTTTCAGGCAGAGAGAACAGTTGAAGCAAAGGCCCAAAGTGAGTGTTCAAGGAACAGGAAGGAGGCCATGGAGCTGGCATGGAGTTGATGTGTCAATGACATCAGAGAGGTAATGGAGGGATCCCAGGGCTTTTGCAAGACTTTGTCTTTTTCTCTGAGTGATGATCTAATATCATATCAGCATCTGGCTGCCATGTTGAGAATAGACTGTTAGGAGGCAGGAGCAGAGGCAGGGGACCTGGTTAGTAACCTACTTCCTCAATCCAGACAAAAAGTAACACGGCACAGACTATTAGTTTCCACTTATTTCTGAGGTTAATGGCATTTTACAGAGAATAAATGTTATTTGACCACTCTGCTTTTTTTCTTCCTCCTACCCACTTGTCAAGTAAGCAAATATACTATGTTCTCAATCTTACAATATGTTGTCACTCGTATTTCAAATGTAAAAATCCAATGTCTTTACATTTCAATAGAATTGTTTTTCTTTACTACTTAAAAAATCCTCTTACAAGGTTATGGGGCATCCACTCAATGGAATTAGGCAATTACTATGATTCATGGCTGTGAAGATTATATGGCAACATGAAATACCCTTAAGATGGAATATTCAGTGGAAAAAAAAACCCACAAGAGGCAAAGTTGTGTATTTGTATAGTATGATTAAAAAAAAGATCCATCTCCTCCGAATTGGTCCAGCCTTAACTTACTCTTGGACCTCATTCCCTGTAACTCTCCCCTTTTCTGGATGTTCTGTAACCATTCTGACCTTGGTGATGCTTAAGCCTTACAAGCATGCTGTCATTTCAGAGGTGGTTCTCTCTGCCTGCAATGCTCTTGGGCCCCCAGGGACCTCCCCAGCCTCCACCAGGGAGGCCTTCTTCAGCCTTGACAGTGAAATAGCAAACCCTCCCCTTGGCACTTCCTATCCTCTTACTTGGGTCTGTGCTTTCCATTGTACTTATTTTATTTGTATATTTATTATCTCTCTCCCTCCAACTGGAAAGTAAATTTCACAAGGTCAACAGTTTGGTCTATTTTCTTCAGGTTTTGGTTTTGAACAGTACCTGACACAGAGTATGTACACACAAGAAATCTTGTTGAATTAAATACTCTTACAAAACCTCAAATATTTTTGTTGCTAACTTGATTATTGATGGTAATTCACATTAAAGGCCCTCTGGGACAGTGAAGGGATTACATGGAAGGTTATGGAAGGAGGGTGCTTAGGACTATTTAAAGCACATCATTGAAGGAGTTTTGACTTGAGTTGAATTGAGTTGAGTTGAGTTGACATGGCCTCTGTGTGTTGCTGTGTGAGAACCATATGGCAGACTGCTAAGCCTTGAGTAAGCAGCAATCTGAAGGCTGAGGGGTAACTAGAGACAAGGAAACATTTCTCCTACTGAAATGTAGACTCTGGAATCTGGAGTTGAGAAATGCCACTACCAAGGCAACTTCTAACCCTCGAAGGAGGTGATGGGATAGATGGTATCAGAGAAGAGCAGAGCTCCCTGACCCATCCTAGGGACAACCCACCCCACCCCCAATGGTTTCCTAGGTCTGGGTTCAGTGGGCAAAATCTGGACTGGAGAATGAGAGGACATTCAGACAGCAGTCAAGGGAATAAATCAGTGCAGACCATCTGTCCTTATATTGAATTTGCAAATATAATGCCCATAGCTTATAGAGCTCTGGCTTGGGAATTTTAGGCTGAACTTATAGTCACCTGTAATAAATAGTACAACAGTCCTGGGTAGTGCTAAACTATTGAAATATTGCCATGCAAGTGGTAAGTAGCTGCTGCCTGAGCCCATCCCCCAGCATCCCATCTCCTCAGGATCCAAAGCTCAAGAAGGAAGTGTGGGGCCTCTGGGGTCCTGCTCTGGCACTACAGCTGGAATCTGTTCTGATTGGCTGGGGCCTGGTATATAGCTTGCTAAATATTTTATCACACTTGGTTTGAGAAGGTACACCCCAAAGACCTGAAGATTGCTGAGTAGGTAGCAAGAGTAGTGTAATGCTTCCAAAGTGGGGTCCAAGGTGGAGGGTTCCAAGAACCTGGAGTCGTGCATGTTCAGAAACCTCCTAACTTCATTGACCTCTAGTCAGTCAGGAGAACTTTATCAGTAACTTTATTAGTGTCTGTGTTTTACTTACAGGAAACATCAGAATTCACAGAGGTATAGCCCAGCGGTCACACCTTGTCTGGACCACAGATCCCTTTGAACTACTCAGAACCTAAGAGTAGTTCAATGTACCCAATATCTAGACACAGCCCTCTAAGCACAGTGCCAGGGCACCTGAATCACCACACAGGGAATGAGTGCACTGAGTGCAGTTGAAGATTAGATCCTTCAAATTTGTGCAGTTATTGAAACTAGCCTTAAATCTTTGAGATTGGGAAGTGTAGTAGGATCCAAAATAATGAGATCACTGCAAAGTAATAGTTGGTGTTCAGAAAAATCGAACTAGGGGAAGGAATGTGGAGATATTTGAACCTTTTAGAATCATCAGGGAAAGCTTCTACAGAAAATCATAGGGGTAATGAGATTCTGCAGTTAAATTATAAGCTATCCCAGGCCTAGAAAAGGGAAGAAAGTTATATCCCCTTCCTCCGTGTATGAAACCCAATCTCCCTCCTCATCTACCCCCGCAGAGGTGTGGGGCTTGAGGACATTGCAGTTAAGGAGCCATAGGCATTGAGATGTGGTTATAGACATTTTCCTATTCTATCTTTCAACCAGCCCCAAATATAAACATTTATGATTCCGAAACTGGTCCCAATGTTAAACCCCATAGTCACTCTGTCACGGAGTACAAGATGGCCAGTGGTAGCTCAGTTGCACGTCTTACCCCTGAGAATGGAAAGAACTAGAACTCTGCAAGGTAGGATGCCCGTCTCTCCTCCTGACCTTTGAAACGGTGCACCCGGGTTATAAGTGCTGCCACTTACTCTGCTGTCCTGTGGCAGTTACACGCACATGCCTGCTGTTCGGAGATCTGGAGTGTGCGTTGACATCTGTGTGTGTGAAGATAAACGGGGCTTGTTTTGATGTGGGATATGATACAGGAGCCCTGCTGGCATGCTGTCAGAAAACTCATGTTAAAACGAACCACCCGCAGGATGCGGTCCGGCCCCCGGATCACTCACAGTGGACCTGGTCAGGGTGTAATCTATTTTCAGTCTATGGTCACCTTTTTAATGTAGGAGCAGAAGCTAAATGGAGCAATGAAGCAAAATCAACGATTACTAAACAAACGGACAATTTTGAGGAAAGGGTTTTTTTTCTTTAAAAGTCTGTTCTTCTTAAGGTAATTTTTTAAAATGCTGTAAAATTTTGCATTTTAGGAGAGGAAAAAATCAAAAGATGATTATTAACCTTGGGAGCCTCAAGGAAGTAAAAGGTGAAGATTCTGTAGCTAACCTATTGGGGTAAACGCAGAAAAATTTAACTCAGAACCTAAGAGTAATTCAATGTACCCAGTATCTAGACACAGTCCTCTAAGCACAGTTCCAGGGCACCTGAATCATCACACAGGGAATGAGTGTCAGCCAGGGAGACACCACCAGTCCTGCTGCTTCAGTGGTAAAAGCCCCACCCACCCACTCCAACCCAACAATCCTGACCGGCCAGTGCTGCTACTACCACTAATTGGGGTTGGAAAGTAAGATGAACTTGCTTTGTCTTTCCAGTCAATGTCACCATGGTTTTTCGGACCAAGGCATTTGTCATTTTTCATTTGCCTAATGATGTTATGCATCAAACTTTTACTAGAGCCACGTGATGATCGTTTTGACTGAGCCATCAAGGTAGATTTGTTAGGGATTTTGGTGATCTTAATTCATTGCATGGGTGAAGGACTTGCAAATTGTTGCCTGCCTCCTGACTATGAACTTCCCAGGGAAGAGCTGGGCTGGGACTAGTTAGCCTTTCAGCATCGCTGCTCATGCCCCAGTCTAGGGAGACACTGATTCAAAAGTCAGATTGTCTCCTTTTTTTTTTTTTTTTTTCAAGAGTCTGACTGCCTGGGTTCAAGTCCTGGCTCTAAGACTTTGTAGCTTTGTGACCTCTGGCAAGCTATTGAACGGCGGTGACCCATATGTGTGATGGGGATAATAATAAAGTTATTACGGGGAGCACTTTAGGTGATATGCAAAGCACTTAGAACAATGCCTGCTTGTAGGAAAGCACCTAATACATTTTGATTCCTTTTATAATGAAGCACTCTTCTTATTTTTTCAAAGCCATTTTAGCCAGATCAAATCTGTACAAAAAAAGACTATTGACTCTAAAGTTTATGTAAACTCACTTATATCTATTAATTTAACTTGAAGATTTTGGATATTTGGTCTTTCTTCAAAAATATGTACGTGAAGATGGAAGCCCCATTACTTGAATTAATAGATACCGCCATTGATGTGTATCATGTTGATTCTTAATATTTGTTACATGCATGTGTGAAACGGAACCGCTTGAAAGCAGAATTTAGGCATTCCTGCCAAAAGGAAGTGAATTGAAAGGAAGAGAAGCAGAGCCTTTGCAAGGAGAAAATTGTCCTATCTCTCAGCCAGTGTCAGAATGTGGAAATGTTTACAAAATGCTCATTAAAAGAAAAAGGGATTGCAAGATAGAAACAAAATCTGGTGCACAAGTTTACACTAGCGAGATAAGAAAGGCTAGGCCCCTATAGGGTATTTTGTTATCCAATTACTGCAACCTGACTTTTGGGGGAAGAGGAAGAATGGTAGGGGGAGGGAGAGAGAGGAAGAGTTTCCAAACTTGTCTCCAGTGACAGGAGACATTTACGCTCAGTGAGATAAAACTGCCACTTAGAGCCCAGGGGAGCTAAACCTTCCTGGGTTGGCCTGGGGGCTTGAGCAGAGTCATGGATTCTCTGGCCCTGCAGCTGTGCGCTCTCCTCTGCCTGGCAGCTCACTCTGCTTCTGGAAGCCCCATTATGAGCCTGGAGCAGTCGCCCCTGGAAGAAGACATGCCCCTCTTCGATGATGTCTTCTCGGAGCAAGATGGTGTTGACTTTGACACACTGCTACAGAGCATGAAGAATGAGTTTCTCAAAACATTGAACCTGTCTGACATCCCTATGCAGGACTCCGCCAAGGTGGACCCGCCCGAGTACATGTTGGAACTCTACAACAAGTTTGCCACCGACCGCACCTCCATGCCATCTGCCAACATCATCAGGAGCTTCAAAAATGAAGGTAAGTTTACATTCTATCGATGACATTTGGCTTGGATCTTTTTCAAGGAGTGATACATTCCTAAGGCATGATATAGCGAATAAGAGTGAATACAGATCTACAGACCTACAAAGCAATACACATTATGGCCTATATCATTTTAATGCTTCTTTTCCAAATGGTATTGAAAGGTACTAAAGAATATCTTTTAATTCAAAGTTATAAATTCTCTACCATTTTGACATTATAATGGGATCTTGAAAAATGTTTAAATGTTGACAGCAAGTAATACCAAAAGTTAATGTTGGCCTACTACTGTACCGCTGTTGGTCACTTTTCAGATAGGCCTCCGTTTCCACTTGGCTTTTGATTGATTACAAAGTTTGTCAACTTCTATTTTGATTGAAAATGATGAAAATAGACAAAAACCAGAAAGTTGTGATTTGTGTTTCGCTCAAGCTTTGGACAAATTTCCCTTTTGTGGCCTTATTTAAAAGATGATCAAACAGGATGGAAGCTTATATTTTAGAGAGTTTTCCTACAGTTTTGTTGCATTTGATGTGATATGTATATCCTTGAAACACTGTTTATAGTTTCTAGGAAGTTTGCACGGACCAGTTAATGACCCAACTTATATCTGTGCCTTTATGATGAATGAGGCACAGCTTTACATATAAGTGGAAAGATGTGTTTTCTCCTCCCAGATCTTTCTTCAGTAACTAAATCTAATGACCTTGGAAGTTAATCCTTTGTTTATTATGGTGTGAGTTGGCCCCACCAAAAATTTAATATCTATGGTAAAAACGGTGAGTCCAAAGAAACTAATTATTTAATATTTACCAATTATGCTTTTATAGACACTAGCCAGGTGAAAAATAGGGTTTAGATCGATTTTGGCCAGACTGTCTCAAAAGGAGAAAGGTGGTGTCAAATAAATAGCTCAGAGATTTGGAATTTTGAGAACAGGTAGATTTGGTAGTTGTAGATAATGAGTTTTATTTCTCTGATCCTCGATTTCCTCATCTGTATATTGGGGATACAATACAATAGAGTGATTCAAAAGAGGTTCTGAATAAGAAACATTCCATTTCCTAGGAAGTGTTGAAGAAACATTAGTTATTCCTGATGAATTCCCTAAATTCTAGGCATTACAGAAAATGTTGAGTAGGTATTGCTTAGTCCTGGAGATACCGTTTGCCTTAAAAATTTAGTTGCCAGACCAAAATTAATAATATTTAGTAACACATTGGACCTGGTATTTAGTAACATTTAGTAACATAATGGAATTGGCAAAGCTGAAATTACAGATTCCTTTGGAGGTGAGTCTGAATTGCCAATGAACAGTCTTCTTCCATGGGAGTCCTTCCTTCCTAGGATTTCTGTGCGCTGAACCCTAAGTGCCTGGCTCAGAGCCACTCCCGTCCTCCAGGGAAATTGGGGTTTCTCAGCTTTCACTTCTCCCCTGGAGGATGTGGATGATCCAGGTCAGGAAGTAACATTTACAGTCTCTCATTAGTAGAGATCAGCAAGGGTAGGGTCCTCACTCCATGGACAGCTCAGCCTGCAGCTCCGCCAGTCTGTGGGTGGGAATATCAAGTCCCCAGGACAGGAATGCTGCACTGGGCTCGCCCTGCTGGCTGCTATTGTCTCTCTTTGACTCTTTGGGTCTGCTCAGTGCAGCTTTAAGGAGACAAAGACCAACAAAACAAAACAAAACAAATCCCCCAATCCCTCCAAATCTAACTAATCAAGGGGAAACAATTGCCACCCCGAAGGTGGAAAAAGCATGACCAATATTCCTATCAAAACTCTGACTGCATCTTGTCATCTGGGGGAAGTCAGTTCTCTGCTCTGAGGCTCAGTTTCGTCTGGTGTAAAATGCACAGAGTAGCAATACCTGCATTGGAAGGACATTGTAAGAGCTAAATAAAACAATGTTTACAGAGCACCTGGCACATGAAATTTGCTTAGAAATGTAACTCCTCCACCTATTACCTACTATATTTGCAAATGCACAGTGAATTTATTTTTAAACAGCTTTATTGAAGTACTAGAGGCCTGATGCACAAAATTGATGCAAGGGCCTTGGCCCTGGCCCCCACCCGCCTCCACCTCGGCCGGGGGCCTCTGCTGCCTCTGCTGCCTCTGCCACAGCCCCTGCCTGCTGCGGCTTTGTCCGGAAGGAAGGACATCCAGAGGACATTTGGTCTAATTTGCATATTATGCTTTTATTATTATAGAAAACTGACATACAATAAACTGCACGTATTTATAGTGTATAATTTGATAGCCTTTGACATAAGTAAACAGCCATTGAAACCATCACTACAATCACAATAGTGAACATATTCATGATCACCAAGTTTCCCAGTGTTCCCTTGTAATCCTTTCCTCTCACTAGAGTGAGCTTTTATTCTGCACTTTTCTCATGGGTCAAGCAACCAGTCCACTCCCCTATTTTTGGTCTTCACATGTTCCCTGCCCAAGGTGAGCTGTCTCCTCCATTCTTATAAGGAGGGGACAACTCCCAAGCTACTTGATGTATTAAGGACATATGTTGCACTTATAAATCAATTTGGTCTGATGCCTGGGATCATCAATTAATCAATATGTTTAAAGTGCTGCCTCGAAGGTAATCTTGCAGATTGAAGGCATAAAAAGGAGTTTAAGATGTGGTACTTGCCAGCATGATGACAGTCTAGTTGGGGAGATCCATTCATGAAGAGACAACTGAAATACAAGGATGTACATGGCAAAGGTAAAAGGAGAGATAGAGAGTAAGTACTCAAGTGATTCAGAAGGGAGTGAATATCCAGATGGGAGGTTAAGGAAGGGAAGGTCCCACAGGGAGGAGTCACAGCTAGGTAGTTGGAAATGAGGGGATAGGGCTTTCCAAAGGTCAGAGGAACCTACCCCAAGGTGAAACATACAATAAAGCAAAGGGGTGTTTTCACAAGTGATGAAGATATCAGTCTATTTTAAACAGGGTTTACAACTTATTTTATCTTTCAACAAAGATCAATGGAACAATTGCAATGTTTCATGCACTGGCGAGGATGAATGGGAGTAAAGACTGGATCAAGAAGTTAAGACCTGGTTATAGCTGTTTTGAGAGCCATGCTAGAAAGTTGAAATGCATTCCATTGACCAATATTTTCTACTGGAAGTATATGAGATGATTTTAGGTAGAATCTAGAGGAAGCTGTAAATCATGTGAAATAATTGCACACTTTTACTATTGTAAATTAGAAAAAATCCACATATCACCTCAAACCCCTCATTTCATAAATGCTGTTGCTTAAGAAAAGTCTAAAAGAGGTTGAAAGTATAAAATAATCAGATCAAGTTAAATAAAAATATTAAATTCATGAATGGGGTACACAGTTGGGAAAATGCTGCCAAAGGTGATAGAGAATACCTCAGTTGGTGGTGCTTATCATCTTCGGTGTCATGGAACCCTTTGTTTGATGACAAATGCCCTCAGGAATTCCTTTTAGACATGTATTATCTGGGGCAAGACTACAGGAGCTGTTGGACTCCTATAAAATTCTTAGAAAATCAACATGATGATATTTGGAGGTGTGTTTCTAAGATAAAAGGACCTTTAAAATTTTATTTCATAAATATTCTTGAATGATTTGTATGTGCCAAACTCCATGCCAGGTGCTAAGGGTATAAGACTAAATCAGTGATTCCCAAAGTGGGCGCTACTGCGCCCCCCTCCCGCCCTGTGGGTGCTGCAGCGATCCAGGGGGGCGGTGATGGCCACAGGTGCATTTGGGGGCGATGAGTAACTGCTATTAAAATTTTAAAAAAATTAATTTCCAGGGGCTGAGTAATATTTTTTCTGGAAAGGGGGCGGTAGGCCAAATAAGTTTGGGAACCACTGGACTAAATCAACCAATTTATCCCAAAGGTTCATTTCCCCTATTTCTCCTAATCAAGGACTGCATACCCCAAATCAACTGCTGTGACCCTCCTGGTATATAGCTATCTTCTTGACCTTGTCAGGCTTTAGTGTCTAGAGCAGGGATCAGCAAACTTTTTCTATCAAGGGCCATACAAATAGTACATATACTAGGTTTTATGAAACACTAGAGGCCCAGTGCACGAATTCATGCACCAGTGGGGTCCCTCAGCCTGGCCTGCAGGGTTGGGCCGAAACAAGCTCTCCAACATCCCCTGAGGGGTTCCCAGATTGTGAGAGGGTGCAGGCCAGGCCAAAGGATCCCACCGGTGCATGATTGGGGCCAGGAGGGATGCGGGAGGTTGGCCAGCTGGGGAGGGACCATGGGAGGTCTCCAGGGTGTGTCCAGCCAGTCTCGCTCAGTCCCAATTGGCCAGACCCCAGCAGCAAGCTAACTTACCGGTCAGAGCATCTGCCCCCTGGTGGTCAGTGCACGTCATAGCGAGTGGTTGACAGCCTTAGCATATCATAGCATGTTACGCTCTGATTGGTTGAACGGCTGACCAGACGATCGAACACTTAGCATATTAGGCTTTTATTATATAGGATTTTTCTCTCTTGGGCCTATTTAGCTGTGTCATTGTAGTACAACCATCATCACAGACAATACAGAAGGAGTGGGTGAGGCTGTGTTCCAATAATACTTTATTTTGAAGATTGGTGACCCATGGAATATAGTTTACCAACCTCTGGTCTAGGTGAAGGTCTTTAGGAAGAACAGTGCCAGCCAGCTATGTGGGGACTCCACCCATTACATGTAAATATGACAAACCATGAGGCCCTCTGAAAAGTGTCAAGAAAAGATCAATTGCCTTGGAGGGATAGAGCATGGTCCTGATATACCAAGGTTTAGGGTTCAATCTCTGGTCAGGGCACATACAAGAGCCAACCAATAAATACATAAATAAGTGGAACACAAATCGAAGTCTCTATCTCTCAAAATTAATCAATCAATAAACTTTTTTTTAAAAGAAAAGAACAACCATAACATGTTTCATTTGCTATCTCTTCACTGGTTAGAAAAATTGGGGACTTGCCCATACCAGTGCTATAATTCTGTGGCTGACAAGCTAGCAAGCAAGGCTGGGTGAGTTTTTCACGATTCATTAGACTGCCATTTTCCAGTTTAGTCTTGGCAGCTTAACTCAGTCTAATATTCTACCATTGACCTTTCAGTGTTTTCTGTGTCAGAAAATGTTAACATTGTGTTTGTTTTCATTTATATCCCCTTATTCTCTCTGAATCAAATTTCCTTCATAGACAAGCCTTCTTATGACATAAGTAAGTGTCTGTTTTTCTCTGTGACATACTGTAAATGTCACTTTTGTCTTTTTTTTAGAGTTGTTTTCCCAACCAGCCAGTTTTAATGGGCTCAGAAAATACCCTCTCCTCTTCAATGTGTCCATCCCCCACCATGAAGAGGTCATCATGGCTGAACTTAGGTTGTACACACTGGTGCAAAGAGATCGCATGATATATGATGGAGTGGACCGGAAAATTACAATTTTTGAAGTACTTGAGAGCACAGAGGACAACGAGGGTGAAAGAAACATGTTGGTCTTGGTGTCAGAGGAGATCTATGGAACCAACAGTGAGTGGGAGACTTTTGACGTCACCAGTGCCATCAGACGTTGGCAAAAGTCAGGTTCATCCACCCACCAGCTGGAAGTCCACATTGAGAGCAGACACGACGAAACTGAGGGCACTGGCAGGGGACAACTGGAAATAGACACCAGCGCCCAGAATAAGCATGTCCCTTTGATTGTCGTGTTTTCTGATGACCACAGCAGCGAGAAGGAAGAGAAAGAGGAACTGAGTGAAATGATCACCCATGAGAAACTTCTGGAGCTGGACAACCAGGGCCTGGATGGTTATTCCAATGGTCCTGGGGAAGAGGCTCTGCTGCAGACGAGGTCAAATATCATCTATGACTCCACTGCCCGCATCAGAAGGAATGCCAAAGGAAACTACTGCAAGAGGACCCCGCTCTACATTGACTTCAAGGAGATTGGCTGGGACTCTTGGATCATCGCCCCGCCTGGATACGAAGCCTATGAGTGCCGTGGTGTTTGCAACTACCCCCTGGCAGAGCATCTCACACCCACAAAACATGCGATTATCCAGGCCTTGGTCCACCTCAAGAATTCCCAGAAGGCTTCCAAAGCCTGCTGTGTGCCCACCAAGCTGGAGCCCATCTCCATCCTCTATTTAGACAAAGGTGTTGTCACTTACAAGTTTAAATATGAAGGCATGGCTGTTTCTGAGTGTGGCTGCAGATAGAAGAGGATTTGTGTTGCTTATTTAATAACTGTATATGTGTATATTTTATGTGCCTATTTAATAAGATTATTTAATAAGGGTGTACAGATCATAGAGGTTTACTTAGGGAAATGGACAGGTTGGTTTATTGTAAGAAATGCTTATTTTGTTATACAGTCTCATTCTTTCTGATCTGTGTTTCTCTGGACTTGCCATTTCCTGACAATGCCACCTCCAACAGCAAATGGCAAGATCATGCTATTTGTCTTCTATGTCAATTTGAAAACAACAATCCCTAAGCAGAAATATAGTGTCATAAGATAGATTTATGTGTATGTATATGTGTATATATAAGCTTATAAAACTCTATTGGTTCTATACAGATAGATTAGACTCATACACATGCAAAACTCAATCAAATATGTATATATTAAAAGCCAATGGTATGCTCTCAGTCACTTCTTCTCTGAGTAGGAGTTATGTCAAGATAATTTGCACCAGGGATTTCACCATCCTAGGAAATATTACATTTCCTAAACATTATTGGGAATGTAGGTGGGGCTTTCATCAGTCGAGTGTCTGCCATCACTCAGAGCAGCAGGGCCTGGTAAAGGAAGTTGTATGTGTGAGGAGAGGGGTTATTTGATGCAGAAACCAAATGGGTTCAAGAGGTAGTGGCTTTAAGGTGCACTAGCAAAGAATAAACCCATCGTGGCACCAATGTGCTCGAGGGAGCAGTGCCTGGTCAAGAAAGGAAAAAGTGGGGCTTCAGGGTGACATCTGCTTCTGAGATAATAGGAAAGCAAGGCCAATGTTGGCCTTTATTGCTACAGAAGGTAGAGGAGGTGGGAGAGGCACATAGGGGATGAGAGAAAAGGGATCTGGATGTTATCCGAGGATGTGTCTGTAAAATTATAAGCAGTTCTAATCAGAGAATTAAATTTCTTGGACAAAATAAAATTTTCAAAGAACAAGAGGGGAAAAACCAGAAGGGATCTGTCTGTTGGCCTCTTCACTTCTTAACATTTTTCTTCAATTCTTAGTATTTCTCCCTTGCCTCTGCACCTATGTGTTTGTTTTGTCCACCCTTTTTCTTCCCTCTTTCTTCTTTGCCCCAGAGCCTCGTGTTTTTTTCCCATTCTTCTGTCCCTTGTCTTCACTCACTTCCATTGCTCCAATGTGACCTGGAGGGACACCGGAAGGCATTTCTTTCAAGACAAGTGGAGTTAGTGCTCTAATTTCTAGTTTCCTCCCTGACATTTAATTTGATTTGCTTTTAACAATATCCTTTATGAATGTTTTTTCGTGGAGAATATTTAAGAATAAGGAAAAGAAAATGAGAGTCCAAATGGATTCACCTAAGTAAATGAATTAATACATAGACATACAAGCAGATGACTGAAAGCTAAGCCTGAATTTTGAAATCAGGTTTGCCCATGGTAGAACCCTTATAGCCTTCCCATTCTGCAGTCTTCCCATTTGGGAAATGGACAGGACTAAGGACTGGGAAGTGTTCCGGACAGGAATGATTTGTCAGGCCTTCGTCCACCTCAAGATTATCCACCTCAAGTTTATGGGTCTGCCAGCAGTTGGCCAGTTGGAAGGACACTGAGACTCTGGCTGTGGTCTAAACCTCTCCACCCGCATGAGGGATCGTGGGCTTTGTGCAGGAGGAACCAGAGTAGTGCAGTTCTCAAGCTGTTCTGACAGCTCCAGGCGGATGACACAGATGGTTCAAGCTAGAATCAGGAATGTGATTTCTAGTACGTTGTCCCCACTCACCCATTGAATGCTTCCCTAAGAAGTCTGGCATGTTTTATAACCTAGGAAACCATCAGCCTCCCTTTCACAAAACTCTTGGGGTTATTAACTCATATTGCACTAGAAAATAAAGGGAAGGGAAGTGATTTTGAAAGACATCTTGCCCAATTTGGACCTCAGCTCTGTAAATCCAGATGCATAGATTCTGAGAGCAAACAGAGGGAATATCTTGGGGGATTCATTGGCCTGAAAAAGTGGTATTCTGACTATCAGTGAGTAAACAGTGAGTGACAATTTGAGATGGTCATGCAATTCAGATCCATTCATTTATGGAATAACCTCCATATACAATGGTACGTCTGTGTGTGTGTGTGTGTGTGTGTGTGTGGTGTATGTAACTGGCTTTGGATAGCCACACTCAGACCCCTCAGTGGGATGTGGTACATCCTTTACATCCATGGTACTCACTTTATACTCATGTACTCTACGGTACTTCTTATTCTTCTAATGGACACCATAATAGACATACAGTAAAACCTCAGTTAACAAGATAGTTCTAGTTAGAGAAAAATCAAGCAAAAATTTATGTCTAAAATATTTAAGACAGTGGTGTGCTGGTAAATGCTTTACAGCCAGCAGTCCTGGGGTAAATTAGCCCTGATTTGTTCATTTCAATGGTGAAATATTCACATGGCCTATTTCAAGGCACTAAAGTGATGTCAACTGGCTTGCAAAATTCCTGAACTTAACAACTGTTCTCAGGAGCCATGTTTGCTGCTCTGGCACCCCACTGCTATCAGCACCCTGCTCATGCCTTCTGCCGACTTGCCAGGTTCCTAGAGAAATCTTGTTGCAAGCACTTATAGTCACTCTTCTATTAAAGATATGTGAACAGAGAAAAGTTGGGGGAAACCAAGATGGCGGCATAGGTTAACGCTGGAGTTTTCTGCCTCGAACAACCACTTCAAAAATACAACTAAAAGACGGAAAGGACATCATCCAGAACCACAGGAAGGCTGGCTGAGTGGAAGTTCTACAACTAGGAGGAACCGAGAATCAGAGGAGGCGCAGTGCTGAAGTAAAATACTAAGGTGCGGAGTGCGCGCGGCGCGGGCTGGTGGCTGAGGGCTCGGTTGTCTGTTTCAATCCAGAGGGAGACTCAGACTCTGAGCTCCAGATCTGGGCGAGTCTCTAGGGACCCAGACTCAAACAGGAGAAGCAGGACTGTCTGGCTACGGTCCCTCCGAGGTTTGCAGCGGTTGCTGGGACAGAGAGGCAGAGCCCCTGGGGACGGACTGAGAGCAGCCATAACTGCTCCCTCCTCCGCCCTGTTGATCCCGTGGGACCCGCCCCGCCCAAGCCCTGCACAGAGGCATTTGCCGGATAGCCTCAGGCAAAGGCTAGATTAGCACCTCCCTAGAGGACACAAGTTCTTCCACTGCAGACACAGCTGATTAACACAGCCAGTCGGCCTGGAGGTCAAATCCCTCTAGTATTAACTACAACAATCAAGGCTTAACTACAACAAGACTGCGCACAAAGACCACTAGGGGGTGTACCAAGAAAGTGTAAAAAATGCGGAGACAAAGAAACAGGACAAAACTATCAAGGGAGGATATTGAATTCAGAACCACACTTTTGAGGTCTCTCAAGAGGCTTCTAGAGTCTGTTGATAAACTTGATGAGATGTACAGGAAATCTAATGAGACCCTCGATGGTGTGATAAAGGACCATCTAGAAAGTAAGCATACACTGACTGAAATAAAGAATATTATACAGACTCCCAACAGCAGACCAGAGGAGCGCAAGAATCAAGTCAAAGATTCGAAATGCGAAGAAGCGAGAAACACCCAACCGGAAAAGCAAAATGAAAAAAGGACCCCAAAATACGAAGATAGTGTAAGGAGCCTCTGGGACAGCTTCAAACGTACCAACATCAGAATTATAGGGGTACCGGAAAATGAGAGAGAGCAAGATATTGAAAACCTATTTAAAGAAATAATGACAGAAAACTTCCCCCACCTGGTGAAAGAAATAGACTTACAGGTCCAGGAAGCGCAGAGAACCCCAAACAAAAGGAATCCAAAGAGGACCACACCAAGACACATCATAATTAAAATGCCAAGAGCAAAAGACAAAGAGAGAATCTTAAAAGCAGCAAGAGAAAGAAACTCAGTTACCTACAAGGGAATACCCATACGACTGTCAGCTGATTTCTCAACAGAAACTTTGCAGGCCAGAAGGGAGTGGCAAGAAATATTCAAAGTGATGAATAGCAAGAACCTACAACCAAGATTACTTTATCCAGCAAAGCTATCATTCAGAATTGAAGGTCAGATAAAGAGCTTCACAGATAAGGAAAAGCTAAAGGAGTTCATCACCACTAAACCAGTATTATACGAAATGCTGAAAGGTATCCTTTAAGATGAGGAAGAAGAAGAAAAAGGTAAAGATACAAATTATGAACAACAAATATGCATCTATCAACAAGTGAATCTAAGAATCAAGTGAATAAATAACCTGATGTACAGAATGAACTGGTGATTATAATAGAATCAGGGACATAGAAAGGGAACGGACTAACTATTCTTGGGGGGAAAAGGGGTGTGGGAGATGTGGGAAGAGACTGGACAAAAATCGTGCACCTATGGATGAGGACAGTGGGTGGGGAGTGAGGGCAGAGGGTGGGGTGGGAGCTGGAAGGAGGGGAGTTATGGGGGGAAAAAAAGAGGAACAAATGTAATAATCTGAACAATAAAGATTTAATTAAAAAAAAACAATAGAAAAGTTATTTTGATTTTCTGAATTACAGTGGGGCTTTGACTTACGAGTTTAATTCGTTCCGAGACTGAGCTCGTTAACTCAAATTACTCTATCAACTCAATGCAAAAAATCTGCCAAGAGACAGCTGGTATCTCAAAAAACTCGTTAGTCGGGACACTCGTAAGTCAAGGCCCCACTGTATATAAATCATCCCATTCGATTGAATGCTTTATTGGTTGTAATGTGAACATCCCATTGATTGTGATCTTACTGGTTTTAGAAAGCAAATTCCTCTGTACCTGGGAACCAGTACTGGCTCTGTTGCAAAGACCACAGCTCCCTCTTAACATTTTTTACAAGCAGGTCACGGTTTAGCCGGGGTGAAGAGCCTAACCTTTCTAAGGTATGAGACTGTGACCTTTTGGGAGTATGAGTCTGTAACCTGTGACCTTTCTAAGGTATGAATCTGTGACCTATGTTGAGAAATGGAGCGACGAACTTTGTGTGTGTTTAGCCAACCGTTTTTGTGGGTTTTGTGAATAAAAGCTTACTTCTACATCTGGTCGGGGCTGCAGTTCAGCCTCTGCTTTGGCAGGGTGCTGTAACTGTAGTCGCTGGCCAACTTAATAAAGGCTCCTAAATTA